ACTTTTTAAAATTCTCTCTTTTTCTTTTAATGAGTTCTTTTAAACAAAAAGTACATCAGATTTTTTTTTATTTTCATTGTAGTATTTAAATTCTGTATGTATTGTAGTAGTGCTCTTATTAAGATTTATTTGAAAAGAAAGGGTTAAATTCTTAACATGCACAATGAAACATTATCCAATCAGGATTGTTTTCTCTGTGGTATGTAGGTAGATGCAGCTAAGCAAGCTTAAGACTTCAGGAGCTGGACTGAAGGCCTTACACGTTAAATGAACGACATGACCAATGACAGAGGAATCAACCAGTTACGCTTTGGGACCAACGTATTGAGTGAGACATCACTCTAGTCCTTTTGGGAGTTCTAGATAAGTTACTGACCGTGAATATGAGCCGTAGTCTATTGCAGGTCTGGGTTAGTGGTTAGGAATGGAAAACAGCGGCAGCGGCTCTACGCCAGGACTCTTTCCTGAAAGAGTCACTGTAAAACCTATGTACAGATTCAAGTATATGTTAAAGTCTGTTGCAAGATTTCAGATAAAACATATGGAATGTCTTTTACAAACTTCAAATGTCCACCTTTTATATAGAATGGCCAAATAATGTTAATGTGCGCCATCATTAGTTTAGCACTAACATACTTCTAGAATTCCATAGGGGGGCTAGCAGAAATTAGCATCATCATACTTTTGACATTTATAGTCCAAAATAAAGGCCTAGCTCTAATAGTCACGGTTTTTCTCTTAAATATAGCAGTGCAATATCAGCCTTCGCTTGATAAACCCCAATGCAGAGATGGATAGTAAAGAACCATCTATTGAAACATACTTTAGAGAACCAAAGATGGTTCTTTGCTGGCTTTGCTTCAATTTTAGTAGTGTGGTAATCAGCCTCTGGTAAGAAAATCTGGGAAAAAAAGCATATTACAGGTATCACTAGAGTTCAGCATGAAAAGTTCTACACTGCATCCCTACACGGCGTACAGATAGGCATGTTAGGTTTGGTTTGTTTGCTTGTGAATCTGATTTGCTCCTTAAACTTCATCTTCAAGAAGACAACTGATGCACGTACCATAGTTCTAATGTTCCACGGTTTCTCTTGTGGGTTCCCTCATTTTCAGTTGCTTATTCCTGCAGTATTTGCATCATGCTGGGTGAGGTGGAAAAAGTAGAGAGAACACTCTTAAAAATAAAGATTCCTATGTGGTTCTTGGTTTGGACGCACAGTTCTTAGAAAAAAACATCTAGTTAGTATAGAACCTTTTTTTTAATTACATGGAAGTTCTTTCACTTCTTAAGTGTCCTCACTCCGACTGTGATGTAAATAACACTCAGACTGCTTGCACTGTTTACCATGTAGTCACCATATAAAACATTTAATATGTAATAAATTGGCAAACCCTGGAAACTTTGTAACTCTTTGCTGTTAGTGGGAGTTGGCCAGTCTACTACTGCTTCAACCTTTTTAGCATCTATTAGAACCCCTTGAGCGCTGATTACGCACCATAAGAACAAAACTCTTTCTAAATTAAATTTGCACATTTCTCCTTTGACGATCAAGCTGTTTTCTAGCAGGCATTGTAGGACTCAACAGACTTGTTTCATAATCTGAAGAATAGATCAGGATATCATCAATGTATGCGATCACAAATCTCCCTATTGTGTCACGGAGGACATCATTTATGAATGATTGGAAAACAGCAGGTGTTAAGGAGCCCAAAAGGCATGACCAAGTACTCATAGTGCCCCCTGGTGGTGATGAATGCCGTTTTTCCATTCTTCACCCTCCTTAATACGGATTAAATTGTAGGCACTATGAAGATCCAATTTAGTGAAAAAATAAGCTCCACAAAGTTGCTCAAGGGCTACTGTAATAAGTGGTGATTTTTTTTGTGATGTCAGCTCAATAGTCTAAACAGGGTCTAAGACCCCCATCCTTCTTTTTAACTAAGAAGAACCCAGAAGCGGCGGGGAACGTGGACAGACGGATAAACCCCTGAGCTAACATCTTGACACTGTCTATGGTTTTCTCTTTCTCTTGTGTTAAGGACAGATATGTGATTTGGGCAATGTGGTACAATCTATGATATCTATGGAACACTCAATAAGAAGGAGCTCAGTAGCAATTTTTTGCTTAAGACTTATAGTAAGTCAGAGTATTAAGGGGGAATTTGTACAGTGAGTGTGCTCTCTGGGCTTTTTTTTCTGGGATAGAGCTGATTCTGAGTACACACATGGGAGACAATACTTCACAAAATACCTAATCTAAAGCCTGGGCTTACATACTAAATGACAAAGGAAATATGGAATAGGTCTGAGTGCATCTGTGAGAGTCCTGGGCAGCCCCATTGGCAGAAGTTCCAACCAGGCCAGAGGGAGGCGTCACATCTCAATTAAAGCCACTTACCTCTTTATGAGGTAGAAGAGGGTCACTGTTACAATGGCTGAAAATAACAGTGCTCCCAGTGCAGCTCGCACAGCAAATGATCAGGATCTTTGGAATCTGAGAGAGATGAATCTCATAACCTTTTTCAGTAACTATTATAAAAAAATGTGTATCTCTATAAGTTCTGTAGTTACAAGAGTGAGGAATTGAAGTGTTGGCCCACACATAGGCCCTTGGGGTTTAGAAAATAAGGTACACCTATATTCAGAAGCCAGTAATGTTTTTTTGTTTTCTTGCTATAAGCCTTATATAGCAAGACTTACCTTGTACTCTTATAGAGATCACTGTAGAGTTTTGTGGTCCCAGAGCGTTTTGAGCCAGACAGAAGAGTCAGATAAAGTTATTCGAGGCTTTAGTATAAGTGTGTACTTCCAAATCGTAATCCAAAAAGTTTTTTGAGATGTGTGGCTGCCATCAAGTTCTAAATCAGTGAATATTTTTCAGGAAATGGTAAAATGTCTCACTTTCAACATCTGATATATGTTCTATGCTCTGTTGTGAATAGAATATGAGTCTGTGAGATTTGCGAATCATTGCATTCTGTTTTTATTTACATTTATTTACATTTTACACAACATCCCAACCTTTTTGGAACTGGGGTTGCATATTTATGGATAGCACTGAACCATTAAAGTAGGAACAGTCATAATTTCAGTAATGATTTATTGTATTCATGTGAAAGTTTAACTGTGTAGCAGTTCCAGTAATTTAACTGATATACTTTTGTCAAATTTTCTATATTTGATTCAAGTTGTGAATTATTGATATGTTTAATATTGACTCACAAACAGGAACACATCTATGACTCAGGAAGATGACAGAGGCAGAGGAAATTACTCAAATGAAGAAAATTACACAGTAAAATTATTGCTGATGCAAGCTTTTAATAACAAGAAAAAGAAAGGTTACAGATAAATTAAGTAAAGAAGCAAACAGATTAATTGCATTAGCTGGAATAACTGGTCAAGCTGTTTATTGGTTTGATGCCTTCCTTTAAGATAAATGATTAATATGCAAATAAAATGATTCAGTTTTTTCATCAGAGTTGATTGACAGTAGGACTCAGACTCCCTCTTCAATTTGTTTGATTAGATCTGCAAAACAATAAACACAGCAAGAATATTTACAAATTATCATACTCCACACGATAATTGTTTATTTACTATTCATGAAACCACTTCATACCATTTCTGCTGGAGAAAGGCTCTGAGGAACGTCTTATTCAAGCTGTGGGAGTGAAAGAGAAAGAAGAGAAGAGAATCAAAGTATCAACATTAAACAGATGTGTAATGGCATCTAATCCTGACTGACTGTTATGGTGCATCTTTTTATGTGTTAGACAAAAGTAATGAGACACACCTCCTAATTATTGAGTTCAGATGTTTCAGCCACACCCATTGCTAACAGGTGGATAAAATTCAGCCATGCAGTCACGATAGACAAACACTGGCAGCAGAATGGGTCGTACTGATGAGCTCAGTGACTTTAAACATGGCATTGTCATAGGATACCACCTCTCCCTCAAATCAGTTTGAGATCAGTTTTATGCCCCTGTCGTAAATTGGAAGCACCTAGAAGCTACAGTAGCTTAGTCACGAAGGAGGAGACCCGCAAATTCACAGGGTGGGGCCACTGAGTGCAGCAGTGCACAGTGTCTATCCACTGTTGAATCCCTCACTAAAGAGTTCCAAATTGCCTCTGGAAGCAACATCAGCAAAAGAGCTGTGCATCAGGAGCTTCACAAAATGGGTTTCCAGGGCCGAGCATCTACACACAAGCCTAAGATCAAAGTGCACAGTGTCAAGCTGGGGGGGGGCTGAATGAGTAGGGGGGTGATGTAAAGCACGCCACCTCCGGACTTTGGAGCAGTGGGAACTGTGGAGTGATGAATCACACTTCTCTATCTGGCAGTCTGATGGAAGAGTCCCAGGTTTAGTGAATGCCAGGAGAATGTTACCTGCCTGACTGCACTGTGCCAACTGTAAAGTTTGGTGGAGGAGGGATAATGCTGTGCGGTTGTTTTTTAGGGGCTGGCCTAGGACCCTTAGTTCCAGTGAAGGGAAATCTTAATTTTCAGCGTACAAAGACATTTTGGACAATTGTATGCTTATAACTTTGCGGGAACAGTTTGGGGAAGAACCTCTTCTGTTCCAGCATGACTGAGCCCCAGTGCACAAAGCAATGTCCAAAAAGGGATGGCTGGGTGGGTTTGGTGTGGAAGAACTTGTCTGGCTAAAACTGTATTTTACATTTCTCTGGTTACATGAAAAAGGCAGTATTTCTGATAAATTAAGTTACAGTAATTTTACAGATTTTTTTAGCGTCATTGAGAAAACATACTTTTACTGTTAAACATTTTTTGCTGCCACCCCTGCTGCCAGACTTTGTACCACAACTTTTTTTAGTATAGCTAATTTTCTAAGCCATTATTAGATTAGACCGTTACTATTGAATAAAATATTATTAATATTTCAAGTGATTCCAAACTTTTGAAAGGTACTGTAAATAAATCTTGCTGAAATTAGCACTTTTTCCATAGTGGCTTTTCAGTGCTGTTGTACTAAGTGCCGCCCCTTCAGAGGTCAATGCAGCTAAAGTAGTTTTTTTGGGCCAAAGAATCATCTTTTTCCTAAGCCTGTGAATAGAAATTCAGAATGCGTATGTTACTTACGACATTTAGTAATCTGCTTCCACTGCGCTGAGACTTCTGTTTTAGCCAGCATGCAGGAGTTAACATAACTGTTAAGGGCTTTGCAGTAGGTCTCACGGCTTCCGTGAGTGAGACATGCATAAAAGACACAGTCGGTTGGAAACTGGGCCAGCATGACTGTCTCATTGCAGTTAGCGAAGGGCCCTGTTTTGTCTACAAGCACGCCGCAGTATTCGGGGCCACGGTAACGCTGCTTCTCTTGCTCAGTGCAGGCTGGGAAGTGCCAGCATGTGCGGTCGTTGTCGGGAACACTCCAGGATGCAGCCCACTCTACAATGTCCGACACAGGAACGCCGGCTGGCGTGACAAAGTCATCGCTGCGGTTGTTGCTATAGGTTCCGCACATGCCCACCAGGTTTTTGTAGTAGCTGCTGGGCACTGTCACCTTGAAAAACTCACCCCAGTCAAAGGTGACCTCCAAACCAAAGTCTGTCTTCAGGGTTCCAGTGAAACCTGACTTAGTTATCGTGATGTTGCCAGAGTCCAGATTCACAGGGAGAGGGGATGTTTTATTATCAATCTGGAGAGCAGAGAAAGAGGAAATATGGTTTGTTAGGTTCCACACTGACCACAAGCCCTTAATGGCCTATGTCCAGCAATTCTTGACAATCTTGAAGTCTGTGTTGATAAAGACTATGGCTGATATATACTTATTAAGCAGTGGTCACAAACTCTCCTCCTGGATATCTACTTTCCTGCAGAATTTAGTTCAAACCAGCATCTAATATGCTGAATCATCCCCTTAACTAACACTAATGCATTTGATCCAGCCGGCAGGTGTGACACATTGTGGCTGGAACTACATTACAAAGGAACATAGATCTGCAAGTCCAGGGTTTGTGATCACTGTTATAAGGCAATACTTAAGTATTTATGCATAGCTTAAACCATTAATCGTACAATGATATTAGATGTTTTATGAATTAAATGACAATGTATTGACATAAGGGCCCTTAAACTGAAGTGACAGACATTTGTTCTATTTATTACACTCTTATGAAGAACTGTTCCCAACTAATGGAACTTACAAGGCACAGTTTAGTTAAGAGACCCATTTATCAGGTCTATGATTTTGTGATAGTTGTCATACATATTTTACCTTACGTATGAACATGCATATTAAAATATGTACAAAAAGATCAAAAGTAGATGTACTGTGACATATTACAGTAACTATAGCATTCTAAATTAACTAAGCTAATACATTAGTTAGTTGTTTATATCTGTAGAAAGTTTATATCTTTGTAGAAATTGTGTTTTTGCTTTTGTGTAGCACAGAACGGAAATATGGTGTTCTTAACAAGGCTAATGAATGTCTGTCACTTTAGTTTAAGGGTCCTCATGTCAATACACTGTAATCGTGTGTTATCTTGCGATTACAGTTTATAAATACTGAAGTATTGCTTTTATTCAATGCCTATGCATGTGTTAAATCTTTGTGTAGGTAGTCTTTAAGTACAGTTTACAGGACCGCAACAAGTGAATTTCTGTAAGGCAGCATTAGGTATACTCACTGTTACTCTGTTACGTTCACCATGAGTGATGACAATTTCATGAGCTGGGAGCTTTATGATGACTGACTTCATGTAAGAACCCCGTGCTCCAGAGGCAAGCTGGTTCTTGTTGATGATGGAGAAAGGTGTGAGGGTTTTGTCTTTACCCGATGTCTTAACCATTACATAGGAGCAGGTGCCCTGGAAAGAAAACAGGCTGCCATCGAACGTCTCATAGTGAGGGTCTCCAACAGCTTGGCATGAGGCCTTAGACTCGGGCGTGCACACCCCCTTATTGTCCTTCTCCACACAGATCTCTCTCTCACGACAGGTTTTCTTGAAGCAAGGGTCTGGAACAGGGTAAGACATCAGTTTAGAAACATTCTTGGGTAACACTAACATTTGGACAGTGTTCGAAATGCTACATAACACCTCGTTATGACAACTGACATAAACCTACATACAGTTATAAAGGCTTATTGCAGTAGGTGCTGTCTGTTAGAAAAGCTGCTTTTGAGGCTCTTGAGTTGTGCAACCGCCTAAGCGTTGGCCCTATCATCGAGCAATCACGGGTTCTGGTGATGCCACAGCCATTCGTGGCTGAAAGTCCAAGAGAACACAGAAGTCCTCGCTCTCTCTGGGTGGGTAGGATGGTCCCTCCTTATCCCCCCCATCACTCAGCACAATGTGATTCAGCACAGGCGTCTATTAGCTGATGTAACAGAACTGGTGATTGACACTGACCTCTGAGCTCATTTAGCTGTCCACTTACGTTGCGTTAGCAGCAGTTTGAAAAGATGCGATAGATCGCCTCACAGGTCTCGGAGGAAGCCTGTGCTAGCTTTTGCTCTCCTAGTGTTGGTGGTATCGTGTGACGGGGGGATTCCTAACTAGTGGATGTAACTGGATAAGACTAAATTGGGGAGAAAGTGGTAAAAGTCCCCCCAAAAAAAGACTGCTTTTGTAAACTTTGACATAACACTTATGTCAGGTGACCTTGATGATGTAACAGCTTTAAAACACAAAAAATGATCAATGTTGAATAATAAATTGTTAAATATTTTTATGTATTATTTTAATGCCCAAGAAACTATTAAAGATTACACAGGAGCGTCACTAAACCTCAACACTCATTAAGAATGTGAAGATCTATGAATATGCACAGTTATGCAAATTATAAATGCCCACTTGACTCCCCGTTTCTAAACCCTGCCCTTTTACCCTCACTACCCTGCACAGTGTAACTTTAATAATCGGAAAGATTCTGTCCTTCTGGGAACAATATCTTGATTTCTCTCACTCAGATTTGAGTCTTTATCCTTTAAACTTGCCTCATTGCAGTGTCAGTGAGCCAGAATTGCTGGTGGTTTAGCCTTCTCACTAAGCTAACATTATCCTACTTTTAATTTATAGAAGGGTATAAATTAAAAGTAGATTAAGCTAACAGGGTCAGATGCAAAAAAGATTTAAGATTCAAGTCTTTATTTTCTAAATTTGTGTCAGTGAAGCTTCAGTGAACCAGAATAAAGCTCCACCGTCTTTAGTAAAGCTGTTAGCCTTCTTGTGAAGCTAACATTAGCCTCTGGTGCTATGAGAATATGAGTTAAAAGTAGCATAAGCCAACAGTTTAACACACAAATACACATTTGAGTCTCTGAGTCCTCAAAACTTGTGTCAGTGAAGTCTCAGTAAGTTGGAATGAACCTGTGCCGTGGTGTGGGGAAGCCATAGCATGCTACAGCAGCAGAATGCTACTTGGTATTTAACAGCTGTAAATGCCTTATTTGACAGTTTATTAGATAGACATGAAATATAAATTGGACACTGCCATAACTTTGAACACCAACATCATTTATTTGTTTTAGCTAAGTGTCCTGGACAATTTAAACCTACAAACAAGTACGTTATAATAGTGCAGGCATTTTCTGTAGCTGTCAGCAAATTTCCTGTCACAACATCGTAATCGTCTCATTAGCTTATTTTAGTATATTTGACCGTAATATGTTAAGGCTCATTTGTGACGTACTAAACTAAGCTGCTATGTAGTGCTCCACAATTTTTCTGTTGATGAAGATGATGTTAATGATAATGAGGAAGCCTGTGTTTCTGATGGAAAATTTGAACTCTGAACTATGGTAACGCATTTGACACAAATATCAGTCTATATAATCTTAATAACCCACATAATAGCATTAACTATTTAAAAAACACATTTTTAGTGCATCTGTTTTGACACAGATGTTAACCTGACATCAAAGTTGGCAAAGTTGGCACCATTTATGGCATACAATGCCTCTTGAAACAATAGACTTATGTAGGTCTATGTCAGTTGTCAGGATGGGCTAATGTAGGGATCATGCAGCAGAAGGTGTTATTAATTCTTGTTATGACCACAGCTATGTCACAAATAAGAACAAGACTACCTAGATAAGAACAAGACCTACCATTTACACATGAAGGAATGCCATCCTTCTTGCGGCAGACCTGATCTTCTGTACATCGCATGGGCTTGCATGAGAACTGTCCAGCTTTGCAGGTACACACTTCTATACAGTTCCCCAAGACTGACGTCTCTCCAGACTACAAAAAAATGAGACATCTTTAACTTTTTCACGGCTAAAATCAAGTGAGATATCTCTAGCCAGACTGGTTATCATCAACAGAACACAAACAAACCGAAAGCCAATTTACCTTGTAGTATCTGCCGCGTACCAGACAACCACAGTCACTTACAGGCTTACACTCGCCTCCATCAAACACATAGCCTTCGTCACACTGGCATCCCTCCAGACACACTGGACAGGTGTTTGACACAGTAAGGCTGGCACAAGTGGACGAGCAGGTGTCCGCACATAGCTCATAGTGACTTTTGGTAGGACATGTCATGGCTAGAATAGGATAAAGAGAGAAAAAGAGTAAGATATTTATATTAATTTAAATTAACTATCTATGTATCATATATAATATTAAATTATGAAATCAACTTCTTATAATACATTACATCTCTTAAAGAATCAGGGTATAACGATACACACTCAAAAATTTATTCAATATGAAACGTGGTCTCAATGTGGTATATTTTTTGATACAGCAAAAATAAAAAAGCCTAAATATTTGGCTTTAGTTCACATGTTAATGTTTGGTTATGTGTTTGGCATAGAGACATAATGATGCACATATTCTCAGGTTTGGTGCAATTTTCAATTCAGAGGTTCAATTACCTTTTTTCGATATTTTCTATGTTTAAAATGTTCTAAAATATGTTACAAAAAAGGTCTGATTATATTTAATAAAGACTGGTTTGGCTCAGAAAATAAAAGTTATCTGACAGAACTTTTTCCTTGCCTGTTGTGCTGCTCTGTAACAAAATAAACCCCCAAAATCATAACCTTTAAATCCCTTAACTGATTTATGAAAAAGTTCATTCATTTGAGCTCCCTGCCTACTTTACTCTGACAGGATGCACCCAGATGCCTAGTTTTGATGGTTGATTTAAGTTTTCCATCAAAAAGAATAAATGAGACAGAGGGGCATATAGTTGATACAGTTTAAACTACATTTTTTCGATACATATTCAAATCATTGCACCCTTGTTAAAGAATCTCCTAATAAAAAAGTAATCCTGGGCATGGGCAAAAGCACACAGTTACTTACGACAAAAGGTTGTATTCCTCCAGAAGTTGATGGAGACTCCTGCTTGCTGGCAGCTAACAACATACTTCTGGATGTAGCGGCAAACAAGGGTCTTATCTTTGAGTTGTGATGCAACATCCTTTGCACAAGCATCATAAAATGTTATGGGTGAAACTTTGGAATGGCAATTAGCAAATGGGCCTTTGTCCCAAATTAGGATCTTACAATCATTTTCAGCCTTTGTTTGACTGTCTTTGTCAGGCTGTGTGCATCTGGAACCACATCCTGTTTGACAGATTACTTCTTCTTGAACCAACATCCATCCTTCCACAAATTCCACAGCTGAGGGAGCCTGCTTACCATTTGGCAAGAGGAGGTCATCTTCCATTTTGTCATTATAGTTGCCACAGAGACCTTGGACAGCTTTTTTGTAAGTGGATGGGATTTCAACGGTGGCCATGGACACAGTGTCATAGGTCACCCTCAGTCCAAAGCTGGTGTCCAAAATAATGAAAGAGCCACTTTGGTAGACTTTAATAAGGCCTTGTTCAAGTATAAGAGGGAGAACTGCTTTGACCTCATACACCTGCCAAGAAAGAACAAGTTTACAATTTCCATTTATTCATGTTACTCAGCTCTGAATGTTGAATTCATGGTGCCTGACCAATCAAAGAACCTATCTATGAAGATGCCATATGTGCAATCCTTGCAGATAGCCTGTTGCTGCTTCCACTGTGCCCTTGAAAAAGACTCAAAACCCAAGCGTCTCTAAGGATACTGTCCCTGCTATTGGAATCTTATACATTGGTAAGGTTTCTTCCTAAACTAATTCAAATTCAATTGGAAAAATTACCCTTATTTCCCACGGAAGACCAGGAATCAGTGTGATCTTATATGCGTCTACTACAGTGTTGACTTTCCTTGTGATCACTGCTTCTCCAAGAGAAGATGTTTGTTGCACTGATACACTGAAAGGTATCTTCTTCTGGTCTTCAGTCTGGATAACTTCCACCATTCTGTACATACAGTTCCCAGTCACACTAATCAAGTTGCCATCATATGAGTGATAGGTACCAGAGCCAGATACAGAGCAAGATCCTTTGCCCTCAGGGTGGCAGGCCCTTACCCCACCACGGATCTCGCAGCGTTCGTTTGGACTACAAGAGAAGCTCTCGTTGCACTTGACTCGTCCTTGGTCACCACAGATGCAGCTGTAATTGCACTGGTCTTTGAGGTAAAAGATCTGGCCCAGGTGGTAGTACTGGCCATTATAGGTGCAACCGCATCGCTCCATAGCCACACACTCGCCATTGCTTAAGACAAAGCCGTCGTCACATATACAGCCCTCCACGCAAGGAGCACCTTGACAGGCTCTGGGCTTTGAGAGGCCGCTGCAAGTCTGGGGACATCCAGCAGCACACACATCATAGTGGCTGTTTGGTTGGCAAGCGGCAGCTGTGGAGAGACAGTATCACAGACCCATCATTAAGATATACAGGAGGTCTCACCGCAGTTTAAAAGTTTGCAAGCACCACTCAAATGTATGGAATCAATGTTTTCTGTAACATGAGTCAATTTGGCTGCAAAGAGACAAACAAAATGATTCTAATATGCTAGTGCTATGCAACTTAGCAATTAGCAGTGGTTCCTCAGTGGTGCAGCCATCTAAGTTTTGGCCTTAACATTGAGAGATACACAGCCACCTGTGGCCGGGAGTGCAGAGCAGCATATTCGCC